ACTAATTGAATTAATGATAAATTTTGTTGATATCTTTTGTGCTATAATTGCTAGATTGCTTTTTGAATATGAATATTTTTTAATGTGAAAATAAGAAATTTATGTGATCAAGAATGTTTATTCGTATGATTTTAGCAAACAAATATTTAATTATTGATTTATTTAAATTTTATTTATATTTTAAAATTATATAATTTTTTAAAATTTGATGATATGATCAGTTATGTATATATACTATGTAGAATTTGATTAGTTGATTATTTCATATGCTAACATATTTTTTTGGGGGAATTTCAAAAATACGCCTTTTCATATACCTCTTTCTAAAAATACCCCATTTTCAAACTTTATCAAAAAACTCACTAAAAATGTTGAAATTTATCCAAATATATGTGTAAGCTTATAAATATATACACAAATTACCTTTATATGTGTATAAAACTTTATATACCTTTCATAAATAGCGTAAAAATAAATTATAAAAAGCTTATAAAAAGCTTATAAAAACCGTATAAATCCTTTTAAAAACCTTTTAAAAACCTTATAAAACTTATAAAAACGATTTAAAACTATTTAAATCATTTTAAAATATTTGTATCGAATCTCCCAGTAGTAGTTATTATATAGAAGTACCTTATAAACTATATAAAACTTTATAACTTTTTATATTTAAAAAGGGGTATTTTTGAAAATGGATAGATAAAGGGGTATTTTTCAAAAATTCTCTATTTTTTTATCTTTTGATTTTTCTAAAAAAAATGTTATCTTTGTTTTTTTTAGATATACATATGATGATTTTGTTTTATTAGATTTCATTCTATATAAATTATTAATTCGAAAGTATATTAAAATATTAAATATATTTATGTATATTCAAAATATATATGTTTACATATATTTAATTTTGAATTTAATTGTCCACTTTTTATGGTAAAAGATTATTATGATTTCCATAAATATAGATAGTTTTTGTTTGGTGTATTTTTATTTATTTAACTATATTTTTTTGCTGTCTTTAAATGTGTTTGGCAATAGATTTGCAATCACATTTTTTCTAATATTTTTTTTTCAGGTTTGTTTGGCAACAAAGACTAAAAATGATCCCCAATTAATAGTATAGATTATAATTTTGTATGTGTGTTAATCAGTAAAATTTATTTAAATACTCGTTTACTGAATAAAGTTGATTGTTTGCATTTTGATTTTTTTTATTTTTTAAAATTGTTAACTTTTTCGGCAACAAGATGTATGCTTATTCTTGATTAGAGTAAGCGAAAAATACAAGGAATTAATCGCTTGCTGACAACACATGAATCGGCTTACTATTGAGGGCCTATTAGTTTACAAATATATATAGTCTAAAGCAGTAGCTCTTTTTATATTTGTTCACAAACAGTAGCTCTATATTAGACTTGGTGAGCTACAATTTTTGTTTGTAAGTATACAGTAAATATATATATAAATATATAATACATATACGGTTAATATAAATTTCACTTAAACTGCGAATTAAATTGCATGCACCATAGAAGAAGTTAGATCTTACTCGTTTTTGGAGTGTTAGACCATCCTCAATGCTGATCTTTTACTTGATCTTTAAGCTAATTTTAGTTAAAATTTAATACATAGTTTAACCCTAGATATAAGGTGCGTACCTTATATAAGATATTAAAGAAATCATACGATCCACTTTTTTAATTAAATAACTAAAGAAATCATTAGATCCTGCCTTGTTTTTGCATAGATTATGCATAGAAGGAACTAGTCAACTTGTTTTTGGAGAGATTCATCAGCTTTCTTGTGCCTGCCTTGAAAGACCAAAACATTAACGTGTTTATAGACGAGCAAGAAGAGAGGGGCAAGTACCTAACCAGCCTGTTTGATAGGATTGGTGAGTCGAAAATCGCGTTGGTTATCTTCTCTGAAGATTACACCGAGTCAAAATGGTGTTTGGACGAGCTGGTACAGATTAAAGAGTGCATGGACCAAAACAAACTCAGAGTGATTCCCATCTTCTACAACTTAATCCCACCATGGTGAAACGTCTTCAAGGTAAATTCGGCGATCAGTTCAGGGATCTGGAATATAGATATCAACATAAACCAGAAATACCTCAAAAATGGAAGGAAGCTGTGGTTTCTGTTTGCCAAACGTTTGCCTTGTCCTTGTCTGAAAACATGTTTTTATTCTTTCTCTTCTATGTTCTCACTCAACTGATAAGAGATAATAATTTGTGTGGTTGGATACAAAGTATAAGGAAAGCTAATGAATATCATCTTAGTAATTGCTATTTTTATCTTCTTAGATTTCTATATAAGTTATTTCCTTTTTACCATAAATGTTTTTTTAACTTGTTATAGAAAGATTTTGCTTTTCTTACTTACGTACTCATCAACTTGACAGTTCTACGTACAGATTATTCAACTATACATATTTTTCTTAGATTTATATATAAATATTAAAATAACACAACTATAGTTTTGGAGTTTTAAAATTTCTTATTGCATATGGTATTTAGTACACATTATATATTTAATATTTTATGTCATTTCCAATTATAATTTTAATTTTATGACCCCTGATAAAAATTATTTATAACTACCCAGTTTGACTTTTTTTTTCTTTTCTTATATCACAGTGACATATCCGATAAGACTAATCGTTGAGGAAGTTTCGAAAGTGCTGCCAGAAGAGAGAAATGGACAAATAGGAGACATTGAGGTCGACAATTACTCGGTCCCTACAAGTAATCTCACTCTCACTTTATGTGAGGCACCAAAGTAAGAGCTTTTCTCTAGAGAGCATCAATCATATCATATGACTTATGAATAATATATAATTAAATGATTGGAAAAAGAATTATTTAAGTTAATGGGATTTCAAAAAAACTAAAAGAAATTGTTAAAAATTATTTTAATAGATTTTGATGTTTCATTTTTATTATTATCATTTTCAATATTTCTTTATAAGTTTTTAGTTTAATAATTAATATTTCAAACATCCAAAATGTATAACATAATTACATCATACTGTACAAAATGTGTATAGAAGAATCACATTTTTAAATGCTTTGATTGGTAACCACTTTACAAAGCAGTACAAAGCTTTACAAACATACAGTTTTTAAATTTACCAATCAAAAAAGCCTTATCAAAAGCTTTACTTAAAAACTTTACTCTCACCTTTTCTGTACACTTTGATGTACAACTCTTTCTTACCGCTTACCACTCCGGCTAACATATTTTCTGGACATTTATAATTGTAAAAAATGTCTAAAGATGATTTCTTTCATTATTGATGTCTCATTTATAACTGAAAAATCTACACCTCTTAAGGATAGTTTATATATACTCCATAAAAATATTACCTTTATTAGATGAAAAAAAAACGTACATGATGAAGCCAAAAAATGTAACTATTATTCTTAGTGGTGATCTAAAAGAAATAAAACCTCCGAGCTTGTGTTTCCTTTTGAACTTCCTCATTTTGATGTTTGGATCTATGTTCAGTGAGAAAGCCATTGAAGTTCCCCGGCCAAACAGCTCGACTGAAAATTCTCGGAATAGGACTCAGTTACCCGGGCAATCGTATGAGGTGATATATTATTATTATTATATCTTTTTGTATGTTTATTAGTGTCAGTTAATAAACTTAAAATAGAGATTTATATATCGACAGTTAAAGATATGGGTTCTCGAGAGACCAAGAGGTAACACTTTCATGATTGACGCGAGGGAACTTTCTATTACATGGTCACATGACTCCAACCATTGGACCTGGCTCACTCTCACAAACCAAAGTCCAAAGTAAACCAATTTTAAGAACTTTTATACAACTGATTTGTGGAGGTTTCTTATTACATCTTTTCCTAGATTTATTGTCACATACTAAACACAATACTTTTCCAGTGAATCAGCCGTGGAAATTGCGTTTTTGAGAAATGCTTGCTGGCTAGACGTAGCCGGAAAGTTCGACACACGATATCTTTCCCCGATGACAAGATACCAGGTAGTCTTTGTGGTGTTGTTGCAATATACCAAAACTGAATGGAAGAAACCAGTAAAGCTAAAACTGGTCCTGCCCAAGGGTATGGGGAAACCACAAGAGCGGAGTGTGAACATGGTAAATCACATAACGAACGAATGGGTTGATATTTTGGTCGGTGAGTTCACCACATCGAATAAAAACATAGGGGAAATCTCTTTTGTAATGTACGAACATAATAGCAAGATGTGGAAGTCAGGGCTCTTCATTAAAGGTGTTGCAATTCGCCCCAAATACTAAGTCATTAGTAAGTATGGTGGACCTCTCTCATTCAAAGATGTATTCATAGTTTTTCTACGAAAAAATTGATAAGAAATATTTCTTAAATTTAAATTACGGTTTTCATCATAAAACATGAATTTGTATGAAATTAATTATAAATTTTTCTAAATATGAATCGTGAGAGAATAGTAGGAAAATTTCCTTGTAATAAGGCTATCTAAAAACTTAGACATTGCCAAGTGAACATAGAAGGAGGAACATTTTTTAAGATGACCCATATTGGCATTGATCTCTGGCTGAGCATCTTCAGCTACTTGATTCCATGCACTTCGAAACAATCATCGGCAAGTCACATGAATGTTCTTGATTGAGGATTATTATTTAACTTATGTCATAACTAGATGTGTTGTCTTTCCAACTTTTAATCGAATTTCTTGAATACTCTTACGTGTATATTTTTGTAACAGTGACCAATCCGATAGAGAATTCATAGAATCAATTGTCAACAAGGTTAAGAGTTTGCTGGATGATACCGCGATGAGAGAAAGCGAAGATCAGAACCGACTATAAGTAAAATAGTTAGTGTATGATCTATGCGAGGAATATCAATATCACTCATTCGGCGAATCCTGAGAATTGGACATGGAGCTCAGTATATGAGCCACAAAGGTAGGTTCTACGTATTATAGTTCTGATGTATGGTTGTGATTAATTATTGATTGCTCCCTTTAACACTAGATTTTTATTTTTATTTCACAAAAATATCATTTTACATGTTTAATGTGATTTTAACACTAATTTTTATAATTACCCTTAACCCAATCTTTTTTCATCTAAATTAAATCATTTGTCAGTTATTAAATAATGGCATTGAAATTTAATTAAAAAATCTTAATTCATGTTAAAAAGTGTCAAAAACATGTTTTGAAGCATGATTGCTTCTGGTCAAAAGTATATGATTCTTTATATAGTATATTTGAAGGTTAAAGACGTTAACTTATGAGATGGTGAAAAGTTAAAAAGAAAAATCAATTACCTCTTGGTCGATTAGCAGCAGCTCAAGTCCCATAAGTTGTTTTTTTTTTTTCAAGCAACCACTCGAGTCCCATAAGTAAACCACTCTTTTTGGGGGAAGTGGATGACCCTAACGACGACATCTTGGTTAGTCATCAAAAATTAAAGAGGGATGTACTTTTGTAACTCGTGTTAAAAATCGTGTTATATGTCAACTTTTATAATTTAATTAAAATTAAAACTATTTACTTGAAATTTGATTTTAAAAATCTTGATTTTTAGTTTTGAATCAGAAAAATAGGAATCAAAAACATAAAATCTTTTATGTATAGTTTTATATCAAAATCAATTTTTCTTTAATATATATTAAAAAAAAGAGTTAGAAAAATTAAAATATACTTGTGATATCTTAAGTATCCTGAGACGGCTGGCTCAATTAGTGGTTCATTTTGAATTTTGCTACACACAATACAAAAAAAAAACCCAGGGATTTCATAATTCCACACAATATATATTGCAGAGATCATCATCATCATCATAGGAATATCTAAACTTACGGATGATGATTGGATAAAGACATTCGTTTTCTTCTGCTGCACCATCGAACCTTGTTACAAGTAACTAATTGTTGTCACAAATTATGTCCAATTTGCTATAAAACATACAGACAGATATAAATAGGGATTTGCAACCAAATATGGTAACTATATAATATGATTTTGTGACTAAACTTAAATCACTTTTTATGGGTTACAATATTCCCTTATTTGTATTTTGTACGTCTAATTAGATTCTCTTATTTTAAGCGATAAATGTGTTGTTTAAATTCGGCCAAAAATGCGACCACAAGTCTTCTTGTTCAGGTGGTGAATCAGACGAAGGAAGAGCTTTTTAAACTTTGTGAAGGAGTCAAGTCCAAATTCCAAACCATCAACATCATCAAGTCTCTCATCCAAAACTCCTATTTGTTCTTCTTTATTTGATACCGCACTCTCTATAATGGGCCAAAGCATGCGCCACAACACATTAAATTGTCTAAATACCTTTGAATTTTTGAGTCCCCACCCCATGCTTTTCGTATGATTCACCTAACTAAAAGTTTCTCCAAATACTCATTTTTTAGTTGTTTTTCTTGAATTACATACAACTTTAGTCCAAAAAAATAAGAGAAATTAAAATAAATTAATATGAACGTGAAATCATGAATCATTTAATTAAAATATCTCTTAACACTTTTTCAGAAAAAGAAAAAAAACATAATTAATAAGTAAATCGAAAAGCTAAGTAATATTGTAAAAGAATGAAAAAAGGCTTTGACGAGGAAACAACCTTGAAATATTGTGTTCACTGTAGTAAAATAAGTCTTCTCTCAAGTCTCAAGTCTTGAGAGTAACTCTTACGAAGTTTCTCCTCTGTTTCTATATCTCATCTATAACTTCAGAGTAGTTGGTGAAGTTTAGTATCTATTTTCTCTATGGCTTCTTCTTCTCCTTCTTGCAACAGGAGATACGACGTTTTCCCGAGTTTCAGCGGTGGAGATGTCCGCAAATCATTCCTCAGCCATCTTCTCAAGGAGCTCCACCGCAAATCAATCAATACATTCATCGACCATGGGATAGAGAGAAGCCGCCTTATCGCCTCTGAGCTTTTATCTGCGATTAGAGGATCGAGGATCTCGATCGTTATCTTCTCTAACAAGTATGCTTCTTCAACTTGGTGCTTGAATGAGTTGGCTGAGATCCACCACTGTTCTAAGGAATTGGATCAAATGGTGATTCCGGTTTTCTACAACGTTGATCCTTCGGAAGTTAGAAAACAGACCGGTGAATTTGGAAAGGTCTTTGAAGAGACATGCAAAGGCAAAACAGATGGTGAGAAACAAAGGTGGATGCAAGCTTTAGCATATGTGGCAAATATGGCTGGAGAGGATTCTCGAAACTGGTACGTATTTTTCAGTTTTTTTGTTTGTTTGTTTGTTAGGATTAGATTCTGATTTTAGGGTGTTCCTTGTTTACATTTTGAGTATATTGATTTTTTAGGTGTGATGAAGCAAATATGATTGAAACTATTGCCAATGATGTTTCGAATAAGCTTATTACACCGTCAAGTGATTTTGGTGATTTCGTTGGTGTTGAAGCTCATTTAGAGAGATTGAATTCAATATTGTGTTTGGAATCTGAAGAAGTTAGAATGTTAGGGATTATAGGACCTTCTGGGATTGGTAAAACTACCATAGGAAGAGCTCTTTTCAGTTCACTTTCTAGCCAATTCCATCATTGCGGTTTTGTGTCTTATAAAAGAACCAGCCGGGACGATTATGGCATGAAGCTGTGTTGGGAACAACAGTTTTTATCTGAAATTTTATGTCAAAAGGACCTCAAGATTTGGCATTTAGGTGCGGTGGAACAAAGGCTAAAGCACAAGAAAGTTCTTATCGTTCTTGACGATGTGGATGATCATGAGATAGTAAAGACCTTGGTTGGACATACTGGATGGTTTGGATTTGGGAGCAGAATCATTGTGATCACTCAAGATAAGCAGCTGCTCAAGGCTCATAGTATTGACCTTATTTATGAGGTGGAGTTCCCATCTAAAGATCTGGCTCTGCGAATGTTTTGTCGATCTGCTTTTGGGGAAAACTCTCCTCCTAGTGATTTCATGACTCTAGCTGGTAAAGTTGCGATCCTCGCTGGGAATCTTCCTTTAGGTTTAACGGTATTGGGTTCTTCTTTAAGAGGGAAGGACAAGTTTGAGTGGATGGAGATGTTGCCTAGGCTCCAAAATGGTCTAGATGGTAAAATAGAGAAAACATTAAGAATAAGCTATGATGAGTTAGATGGCAAAGATCAAGACTTATTCCTTTACATTGCGTGTTTATTCAATGGCCACAAAGTCACTTATATCAAAAACTTGCTTGGAGAAAGTGTTAATATTGGGATTAAAATGCTGGCTGACAAGTCTCTTATACGTATAACAACACCGCACAAAACTGTTCAGATGCACAACCTGCTTCAGAAGTTGGGTAAAGAAATTGTTCGTGCAGAGTCTATCTACAATCCTGGAAAACGTCGATTCTTGGTCGATGCTAAAGATATAATTGATGTATTTACCGACAACACTGTGAGTTTTTTTTTTTTTTTTTTTTTTTTCTGTATATGATTAACATGTCTAACTTTGTATGAATTTATGAAATTCGTTGAATGTTTTTTTTTATGGGATAATTTTTTCAGGGTACAGAAAATGTGTTAGGCATATATTTTAACACGTCAGAAATCAACGAGCCATTGTTGATAGGTGAAAGATCGTTCGAAGGAATGTGTAATCTCCAATTTATAAAGTTTTACAAGGATTGGTCGCGGGAGAATAGTGCAGGCTTGTATTTACCTCGAGGCCTCGTTTATTTACCTCGTAAACTTAGGTTGGTGTACTGGGACGAATATCCATTGAAATGCATGCCTTCTAACTTTAGAACAGAGTTTCTTGTTAAACTCAAAATGGAAAATAGCAAGCTTGAGAAGCTATGGGAAGGAATCCAGGTACTACGTACTTTATTTTTTGTTTGTCTATTACCTTTTAACAATTTTACTTAGCTATCCATTATAGATTTTTTTTTGTAACGTTGTATTCAGTATTGACAAAGCATAAGGTTGAAATGAGTCGTATTATATGGTTAAAGGCTTTGAACGTGTGTAGTGTCTTTGGCCCTAATTTGTTTACAGCCACTTCGAAATCTCAAGAAGTTAAGATTGGATGGGTCCAAGAAGTTGAAAGAAATTCCAAATCTTTCAAATGCTATAAATCTTGAGAAACTGAATCTTTGTGGATGTACATCGTTGGTGACACTTCCTTCCTCAATTCGAAATCTCGGTAAACTTAGGAAGCTGACAATGGAGGGATGCACAAAGCTCGAAGCTCTTCCAAATGATGTCATCTTGGGATCTTTTGATTACATAAATCTCAGTGGGTGCTCAAGATTGAGAAGTTTCCCCCGAATTTCAAGGAACGTTTCGGGGCTCGTTCTTGATGGAACTGCAATAGAAGAAGAAGATTCTGTCTACATTGGGAATATCTCTGGGATCACTAACCTTGATTGGAGTGGTTGTCAAGTAAGATGTATGCCTTCTAACTTTAATCCAGAATATCTCGTTGGACTCACAATGAGAGATAGCAAGCTTGAGAAACTATGGCAAGGAATTAAGGTAACATTGAGAAACATATACTTTCTAAAATTATCGTTCTTAGGAAGAATTCTTGGGTTTTTTTTTTTTTTTTGTTGTAATTCTTCATGTAGTCATGTATATGGTGACTCGCTTGAGTCCCAAGAAAGTTTAACCGGGTATGTAAGGCTTTGCAAATATAAGTTGGGACGAAATACCTACTTGCTCAAATGTTTTTTTGTTGTTGCCTTTTTTGTTTGCAGTCGCTTAGAAATCTCGGATACATGGATTTGTCAGGATGCGAAAACTTGAAAGAAATTCCAGATCTTTCAGAAGCCACCAAACTTGAGATATTGGAACTCGACGATTGCAAAAGTTTGGTTTCTCTTCCTTGTTCTATTCGGAATCTCAATAAACTTGAGGTGTTGAGCATGAGTGGATGTACATGTCTCGAGTTTCTTCCAACTGATGTCAACTTGGTATCTCTTGATTATCTTAATCTTAATGGATGTGCAAGGTTGAGAAGTTTTCCTCGGATTTCAAGGAACATATCAAGGCTCTTTCTAGCTGGAACTGCCATAAAAGATGACCAATACTGTTTCTTCATTGGTGACATTTGTGGACTCACTGAACTTGTTTGGAGTGACTGTCCAAATAAATATATGCCTTCTACATTTCACCCAGAACATCTCGTTGAACTCACAATGCAAGGTAGCAAGCTTATCAAGTTGTGGGAAGGAGTCCAGGTAAAGTTCTCGTCAAATCTTTGTTAATAATTTGCTCATGATCTTCTTCTTGCTATATGATTTGCTTGATCATGTTAATAGTATATTTTTCATAAAGCCTTATCACCTTTCAAAAAATTAATATAACTACCTTACACAAGTTAATACCAAAAATGGATAACATGATCTTTTATTTGCTTTTCAGTCGCTTAGAAATCTCAAGAAGATGGATTTGTCAAGAAGTGAAAACCTGAAAGAAATACCAAATCTTTCTAAGGCCACCAATCTCGAGTATTTGTGTATAACCGGATGCACAAGTTTGGTGATTCTTCCTTCTTCAATTAGTAATCTCAACAATCTCAAGAAGCTGAACATGAGAGGATGTACTAGGCTCGAGGTTCTTCCTAATGATGTTAACTTGGAATCTCTCTATCACCTCGATCTCAGTGAATGCTCACGGCTAAGAATTTTTCCTCAGATTTCCATAAGGATTTCACTGCTCTATCTAGACGACACTGCAATTGAAGAAGTTCCTTCTTCGATTGAATATTTATATGGGCTCACTACTTTAATGATGCGTCGTTGCAAAAGGTTAAAAATCGTTTCTCCAAACCTTTTTAAATTAAAAAGTCTTACGGTGGTAAACTTTTCAGAAAGTGGAGTAGTCACGGAATTAGGTGATGCAAGTATGGTGGCAACAGTACGACTAAATGCTCAACAAGTAAATCTGTGTGGCGAACACTTTTACTGGCCATATCGGATCTTAACAGTGTGTGCAAAGAATTGTGAATCGCTCCAGATTATATCTCACTCCTTCCTCAATCTAATGAGCTCACTTGAACTCCATAATTGCTTCAATCTGGATCAAGATATGCGGGAACTAATCATAAAATCGGAGTTCAACTATGTCATCTTACCTGGTAGAGAAGTCCCGGCATATTTCATGCATCAAGCTGGTAGCAGTTGCCTACATTTCTATTTACCTCATATCCCTCTTTCTCAAAAAATTTGGGTATTCAAGGCTTGCATCTTGCTTGAACCTCCTACTGATCCCAATGATCATTCTGGAATCGTCGGAGTGCGCTGGTACTTCAGAGGCAAAAGCAGTGTGCATCACTTTAATGTTGACGTGGACTCATGTAAGATGGATCATTTGGTTATGTTCCACTTTTGGTTAAACTTAAGAGAAGCAAATGATCCTCCATCTGAAGTAGACTACAAACATGTGGAGTTTAAGTTTTTCCATCATAACTATGGTTGTTCGGCCAGTTGCATTACAAATGGGGCTAAACGCTGCACGCAAACTTGTACCTTGTCGCTCGAGAGGATAAAAGGATGCGGTGTACGATTGTTGAATGTTTCTCCATCTCCATATGGTGCTGCTGAAATCTGTGAAACAGAGTACAAACAACAGTTTGGAGAAAAATATAATGTTGAAAAGACTGAGAGAAGTAAGAAGCGAAAACGGGTAAGCCTTTTGGATCAAGATGATGCTAGTGATGCTGCATGAATGAGATATCTAATAAAATAGATTTTTTGATTTATAATGCAGATTACATCAGGAACAAATGAAGAAGATATTAACTTACCAGGCCAAATATCAAACACAGGACCGACAACTCCACATCTGGAGCTTTCATTATGGGAAGGAGAAGCTTCAGCCCGGGTTTCTTCTAGAAGTAAGTTAATGTCACCATCAGTTTCTTCAGGCAACTTTCATGGTGATGGAGCATCGTTGTCTCTTTCAGTTTCCCCTTCTTATCTATATATGGAGGAAGAAGCTTTGTGTGTTGATACCATGATAACTGAACTACAAGATGGAGAAACACCCATCAAGAATTCTTCATCACCTCCAAAGCTTTTCAACTTCTTAAGGTAACTAAAACATCTCATAGTTATGTTTTGTTCAGTTTTGGGGGTTACATGACTATAGTGCTAATGATAAAGACGGTTTCAAAATATTCATACAATCTGTTTCTTTTTCTGCAGTTGATGGAGAGATTTTGGAGAACCAAAGCCGTTTAAGCTCCAAACTCGGGGCCTGCGAGTGCGAATGTTTGTAATTTCTACATTTGCCGAAGGGCAGAATTGAATAGCCTATACTGTCTATTCAAATTTTGAAAAACAATCATAAGTCTCGTGTGAATTTTTTAAAATTATAATTAATATTAGTGTATTTAATTTTGAGAGAAGACACATGTCTAAATAAGAAATGCTACATAATAAAAATATTTGGATTTAATTATGTATTTTAAAGACAAGAAAACAACAATAATAAAAACAGGGTAAGAATGCATAAAAGTTTGCTTTGTAACAACTCTACTATTTTTCTCTTTTCTGCATACTATTATACAACGAGACCAAATTATAGGGAGGTTACCATTTCTTTATTCAAACTAATCCGTATCTCAAGCACAAAAACATAAAACGGCTAATGATAAATGCAGAAATGTTAAACTATAGATAAGTATACAGAATCTAACCTTTTCCATGTGCTTTTGCCTCCTCATTTCAATGTATTGCATGGTCTTAAAGTAGCCTGTTTAAATGTTAAGTCAAACCACGAGATTCTAAGGTACAAACCACCAGATTCTCATGAGTTTTGCAACGGAAGAGATCGATCGTGACTTGGTGGTAGAGGATTTCGTCGACAAATAAGACGCGTAGAGGTTGTCGTAAGATGCGGCGGCATAGAATCTCTCTGGTAAAGCGGATTTGAAGGGAGATGGAGAAGCCGAGGAGCACATACATGAAGAATCGAAGACCTAATTAGACAAAAGAGAAAAGAAAAAAAAAACTTTCATCGTAAGAATACGAATTGAATGAGACTAAAAAGCACGAGATTCTTGTGATATTCAAAACCAAAAACCCACAATCGTGAGATTAGCAATGAACGAAAGAGATCAGAAAAGGACCTGCTACTAGATAGTTTCGTCGGCGGTGTAGAAACTCTCCGGGTAAGCCGAGGAGCGGATTTGATCGGAGATGGAGAAGCCGCGGAGGAGCGGAGATTGGAAAAAAATTGAAAACCCGAATTGGAGAACAAAAAAAACTTTACTTCTTCGTTGTATATAAATAAAGAGTCATATGGGTTTATAATTAAATACACACGTCCAAAACTACGTAGTATTTGTAACGGCTCTAATGAGAAAACAAAACATTCATTAGCTGATTATGCGTTAAAAATTGGGTGAGTAGGCAAAATAGTACATTTTTGAAACTTAATTATACAACTAATACATTTACTATTTATAATTAGGAAATTAGTACATTTTCACTATTTGATACTATTTCATTGACATTTAAACACCCAGAAAAACATATTATTTACAAGTTTGCCATTAAAATAATTAAATAATATAATTTGTACATCACATTTACTGTACAGATGTACAAAAATATATTATTCGTACAGCTTATTATTATACTACATAATATCATTTGTACATCTCATTATTGTACAAATGTACATAAATATGCATATTTTGGTATATTATATTAGCTGTATGGGTAAAAATGTGTAATGTTTTATACATCCGTACATTTAAGAAACTGTACGGTTATGTCTGTACATCTAATCAGCTGTACATATACATCTGTACACATACTAAACTGTACAAATACGTCTGTACATATACTAAATTGTACAAATAAATATATATATATGAAATATATTAATTAAACAAAATGTATATCATATGATAGAGAAAAAAACATAGATTTTTGTATATTAACAAGTTTTAGAAAAATAATTTGTAAAACCCAGTATTTTAGTTATTGTAATTTTGGGGTAAAAATATTTAAAAGAAAAAAAAAAAAAAAAAACAAAATACGGTAAAGAAAGACGGTAAAGAAGAAAAAAATACCCTCCTTGGTCAATTTTTTTTTCTCTTTTTACCTATCTCACATTATTTCTATCTCACACCATGGACCCCATTGACTAGTTTCATAATTATAAATAGTAAATGTATGTGTTTCCCAATTATTTTCAAAAAATGTACTATTTTACCTATTAACCTTTAAAAATTCAAAACTATGTGTCATCGTGTAACGGTCACAATAATAATTTGAAGAAACAAATTTATACTTTTCTTCCGTCAAAAACGACGTCGTTTCAAAATCATGGTGTAATTTGTATTATCTAATTATTTATTTTTTAAAAGCTAACTCTTTGACACATTTTGCCTATTCATGAAAATAAAATACACAATATTCACCCTAAACTGCGACGATCCTTCTCAGTTGATCAGTATTTTTAGTTTTCTTTTTTACTAACTAATCAAAAAATCTTTTTGAGTAAACTATTGGATTTGTAGTTTTGGATGAAATGGTAAATGGTGAAATAGCATATTTAAAAAGCTAGTTTATTAAATTAGAATCAAACTTGGTGTAAAAGGACAAAAACAATCATAGTTTAGTGTTTTATTCATGTTGATCGAGGTTATGGATTCATTATGATTAGTATAGGTTTCGAGTTTTAACCAAAAGTCAGTCACGAGATAAGACCAATTCAAATCTCGAATACAAGCTGTAACTTGTTATAGTAAACTACATGTTGACAACTTACATATTAAACTATTTTCATGCATTCAAGTACATATAACGACGTTGGATTAATTAACTTGATCATCCAAAGCATCTTGACAATACACTAAAAGGTCAAACAATAATCAACAAGTACTTGTTTCCTCAAAAAAAGCTCTCTCATGTCTTCTTCTTCTGTTGTGAGACCAACTCCAACCGGACCACAAGTGTTCATCAGCTTCCGCGGAAGAGATGTGCGCAAAAACTTTGTAAGCTTTCTTGCACCTGCCTTGAGAGAAGCTAATATAAACGTCTTCATAGATGAGGACGAGTTTTTGGGAGCAGATTTGGTTAACCTATTGAAGAGGATAGAAGAGTCTGAGATCGCGATCGTGATATTTTCCGAGGATTTTACAAGTTCGGTTTGGTGCTTGGATGAGCTGGCCAAGATGAAGGAATGCAAGGATCAAGGCCGTCTCATAGTGATTCCCATCTTCTACAAAGTTCAACCATCGGTTGTGAAATATCTTAGAGGAAAATTTGGTGATAGTTTCAGGGATATGAAACGCAATCATCTAGCCGAGCCACTAAGAATTCAGAAATGGAAGGAAGCTTTAGTTTCTATCCCCGATTCAATAGGCATGCCCTTGGCAGAACAAAGGTTCCTTTTTTTTTCTTTTTTTTTTTTTTGGGCCAAGTAGATACATCCAGTTAAAGTATCACTAAACAGTTATTGTTGTTGATATATCTTACTTGTATGGTATAACAGTGACAAGACCGATAAAGACTTCATAACCTCAATGGTCATCAAAATTCAGAAATCAATTGAGAATATGGCTGTGAAAAGAAATCAAGAAATAGAAGCAACCCGTCAAGGAGGTTCCATAGTCGCTGCAAGGAAAGCAAAAAAAGAATCGAATCGGCCTCAAGAAAGTTCCATTGTCCCTGCAGCAAGGGAGCTAGAAATAAAACCGAGTCATCAAGGAGGTTCCGTGGTACCTTCCATGGTCCATGCAAAGGATTTAGAAATCACTCATTTTGACAAACCTCGAATATGGACTTGGAGTACTATCAACGAGGGACCAGAGTAATATTATACTCTCTTTTTTATGTTATTTTTTTTGGGGTCAAGAGTAACATTTTACTTTCAAAATAAAATTTTAAGGAAATCTAGATGTCACTCAAATGTTATTTTTTCTCATATGAAAAGGAATATCTGAAAGGTAGAAATCGAGATTTATTTATGCTAAAATTTATTCTATACATAGTTTATAGAAATAAATTTTGGGTAAAACAAATTCATATATTACTAATTATGATATTTTTTTCTTGGTCTTTCTAAGATGTTTTTGTTTTGGTTTGGTCCTAATATATATATTTCTCATCTATGTTTGATTTCATTATGTTTGCAGTAACGCGGGGATTGAAATTGCGACAACAAACAAACTTTACTGGCTTAAAATTGTCGGAACAATTAAGACGGACAATTTAACACCAGGGACAAAGTACGAGGCTGTATTCGTAGTGAAATTAGAAAATGATGCAAGTGGATGGGAGCTACCGGTGACACTGAAGCTAAAGGTGGTACAACACGATGGGGACGACGATCGGGTAGATCGAGACGAGAACCTGGAAGCTTACATAGGCCGCGGCTGGGTGGATATATTGGCCGGAGTTTTCGTAGTTCCGCCGAAAGCCACACCAGCAACAATCATTTTCACCATGTATCAGTACGCGGACGAGTACAAGAAAAAGGGACTCATCGTCAAAGGTGTTGCAATACGTCCCACGAAATAGCAAAATGATATAGAATCCTTTGTTGTCTAATATTTGTTGTAATTCAAAAATGAAATACGTACTGGTCTGTTTTGTTATCTAATGAGTTGTACCTTCTTCTTTTTTTGGTATTTTGTTGTTTGATATTCTTATAAATGTTTATAATTTGTAAAAATTGTTCATGGTATATGGTTCTATGAACGATTAATCATACTCCTAATCTTATAAATAAAATTTATATGGATACATTATTTTTACTATCATACTGGACATAACAACACATTCACCTATTGTGTGGTTTCTATATGTTTGAATTGGTTAAGTAAGGGTAATTAAGAAGGAAAATTTTGTGTGCTCTATATTATCTAATTTTGTGTTAGGGTGTATACTCACGTAGCAAATATAAATTATTTAGACATCTCCATTTATGCAATGGCTAACCAAACTCGTTTTACTAACCGAAGTATTTTCACCTAGAACCTTCTCCTAATAATACTAGCTAGGGTGCATAGTCCAACCTCTCTAGTGGTCTTACTAGAGGGGTTTAGTATATACCTTAGTTCGAAGCTTTTAAAGAAATGGTCCCAAATGGAAACTAGTCAACTATCCAACAGTTTCCAATTTTTTCTTGAAAAACAGTATTTTCTTATTTATAATATTGATATTAATATATGCTTTTTTTTATCTGCATACTCTGTATTACTTAAGTCTTAATCTATTTAGTAATAAAAATTGAAGTATACTAAATTTCCATAAACCATAGCATTTTTGAGTCAAGTGGTAGAAACATATTTATGTAGTTAATTAAAACAAAAATATTAACATATGTGGATCCATGCAATGGAACAATATTAGATAAGTTTATTATTGTCTTCGAGAGAGCTCAGTCTTCAATGATATGAAAAGAATGAACAAGTCCACTTATCTTTGTTTTAGATATGGTTCAGTTATCTTGTAAACATTTTTAAATTAGAAATAACATTGCAGTAGCAATTATTAATCTGACCCTAGAGATTTTATTAAAGTAACCTATGGAAAGACTTTTGTGAACTAGGGAAGTCTTGTCGATCGACTTGGATTATAATTGAAGGAAGACTTTGTGAATTAGACACATGCAGCCAATCAAACATACACTTTGGTAGTAAAACTCACTTTGATAACCAACTGAGTTTATTAGTTTAGTTTATCGTTGACAAATGGTAAACTAGTTTAGTTTATGCATGTTGATCGCAGTCTTAAATTGATTCTTAATTATTTGGTGTATCTGTCTGTTAACCAACTTCAATACGTTACAAAAATAGTTATCTAGAAAATACTCTGTTTTGACCGGAGGATGGCGATAGAATTAAAAGACAAATCAGATTTCGAAAGACAAGTTGTGGTCTGTTTAAGAAAATATAGCATGTTGACAACTTATACATCAAATTATTTCGATCTTTCAAAAATATATATAAGGACGTCTAAGTAACGTTCAAATCGTATTGACAACACACTAAAGCTCACAAAACAACTCAACCTTAAACACTTTTTTTTTGCCTCCTAAACAAAGCTCTCTTATGGCTGCTTCTGCTTCTTTTGCGAAACTCACCCCAACAGGACCTCAAGTGTTCATCAACTTCCGAGGAAAAGATGTTCGCAACGGCTTCCTAAGCTTTCTTGAGCCTGCCATGAGAGAAGCCAACATAAACGTTTTCGTAGACAAGGGCGAAGTGATGGGCACAAACCTGGTTAACCTTTTTGTAAGGATCCAAGAGTCAAGAGTCGCGGTGGTGATCTTCTCTAAGGATTACTCAAGTTCGGAATGGTGCTTAGATGAGCTGGCCAAGATCAAGGACTGCAATGACCAAGGCGGCCTCAGTGTGATTCCCATCTTCTACAAACTTTCAACTGAGAACGTGAAAGAGCTTAAAGGAGACTTTGGTGATACTTTCAGGAATCTAACACGAAAATACAAACACTTGCCAGAAAGAACTCAGAAATGGAAGGAAGCTTTAGAGTCTATTCCTCAAATAAAAGGCATGACTTTGTCAGAACAAAGGTTGATGAATCTCTTATCTTTTGCTCCCTTATCTCACATTCGTTATATTATCATATAGTTAGTTACATCTAGAATATTATGTTCTTGGTATGGCTAAAGTATGTACCTGTTACTTGTAGAGCACGCGACAAGTTTGTTCACGTCTCTCACCCTTATTGTTTGACAGTGATAGGAACGAAAGAGAGTTCATGAATGAAATGGTTTTAGAGATTCAGAGATTGCTCTCGCAAATCGCTGTGAAGGGAAATCCGAAGTTAGAATTGGATTCGCAAGGAGGATTTATGGTCCCTGCAAGGAGACTTGACATTGCTCACGCTGATAATCCTGAAAAATGGACCTGGAGTGCAATCTACGATAGACCACAGTAAGAACTATTACGTGAAACAGAAGCTAACTTTAATTCAACTTGGAGCACTAAATTTCTCAAAATCATCATTGTTGATATTTTTAACCATACTTTTTTCAGCAAAGCGGATATAGAAATTGCGACAATGATTAACATTCACACCTTAATCAAAATAACCGGAGATTTCCACACGAGAAAACTGATACCAGGGACAAAGTACGAGGTGGTGTTTCTTGTGAGCCTAGATGATACATCTTTGGGATGGAAGAAGGACGTTACCATGAAGCTGAAGCTGACTATGCGCGATGGAAGCTCTAGTGAGCAGGAGAAAGCATTGTACTTAGACGAATACATAGGAGAAAATTGGGTGGACATACATGTCGGAGAATTTGAGGCACCGCCGAAGAAAGAGAACGCAAAGATCTTTTTCTCGATGTATCAGTACGTGGACACTGACCCTAAGAGTGGTCTTGTCGTCAAAGGTGTTGCGATTCGTCCAGCGCAGTAAATAAGGCTCAAAGAGCAAAGTCTACAACATATAGTAATTTCTGTTTAACTCTATTTATATAATTTCAATTCAAATTAAATTTAATGCATGTCTATTTCTGGTCAAAAGTTTGTATTTATTGAGTTTTTTTTTGTACATTCTTTTTTTGTTTGTAATGTTAAAAGAAAAATTATATGATTGATTGCTTTTGGTTAATTAACAACCATGTATTTTGACGGATTTGACTGCACAAACTATACACCGTTACATGCCTTTCTATTATTTAATTTTCTGTTACATACTCTCATAATATATTTTTTTGTTAGGACACTTGTATTTTCATAAGGCTGATTATATATGGAGATATTTGATGGACTCGAGTTACAGGAAATTAAACGGAGGGCATTCTTAAAAATTTATGAATTTAAAGAAGATTATTATATCAATCTATGGGTTTGTTCTCATTTTGTCTAGAATAGTCTACTATAAATCACTATATTGATCAAATTCAAACTCATGTGTCACAAAAACTAATCATATGGAATATTAATTTGTCAACACAAAATCATGCAAATTTATTGTTAAACTTAGTCATTCCGGTTCAAGGGTAAGGGTCACATCATAATTTTACTAAACATGTCTAGAAACCCTTTTGCAACCAAGTGTGCTTTGAGTTTGTCAAGGGACCCATCTGCATTCAGTTTCACTCTGAAAACCCATTTACAACCGAGAAAATTCATGTCAGGTGATGCGGGAACTAAGTCCCAAGTGTGATTCTGTGCCAATATCAAAAAGCCTAATTTTGTTGAATACTTTATCTGCGTTTAATTGAAAAGTTTGAGTTCTTTTCCAATATAGATGTTCTAAGTTTAATTTATTTTATTTTGGTCCACACAAATAAACTTTTCATATTTATATATCACATTATTATTTTATTGAAAATTCTAAATAATAAATAAAATATGATATTGTCCAAAAAAAATATGATAAACAAAATGTTTGGGACAAAAGTAAATAAC